TGGTTTTCACGAGACTCACCGGCGCATGCGCAACGCTGACCTCATACGTCATGCTCGCGGAACTGCTTCTGTGTACAACTGCTGGCGCAAGCTAGATTCAAGTGATTATTACGTTTTGAATATAGATATTTTTCTTACAAAGACGCATCGATTAGCTACAGGAGGCCTTTGTTCACCCCCTGGAGCCGTGTGAGACACTTTTTTTAATGGAAGGGTGCTTTTTATTTCAGGTCTTTTGGACAGAAGGCATGCAACACCCGCTGAGTACAACGATAGAGCTTGAAAGATCAAAGACAATTTTTAATATAACTCCGACTGGATTCGTCTGAAAGAAGAAAGTCATATACACCTAGGATGCATCGGGGGTGAGTAAAAGGCAGCCTAATTTTTATTTTTGGGTGAACTAACCCTTTAATGTGTGTTTGTGTACAGTGTTCTTTGTATTCAGAAGGGTTTTCAGGGAGGTAACTGTCCAGACCGGTTTGATCGTATTGTTGCAGCAGAGGTCACTGCATCTCAAAGACACTGCAACACTGCGTGCCTGGAGCAACATCGCAGCTCAGGCAGGTTTCAGGGAGACAGCCTTGCCAATGTCACAATGTTACCTGGACAGGCTCCTCCCAGTGAGAGTGTGTATACAAAAAATATCTTAAACATAGTCATTCCCACTGACATTAAAATTCATCAAATATAATATTATAAAAGAGTCTAAAATCTTCTTGTTCAGAAATTTTGCCTGGTTGAGAGCCATGTTTGAAGCTGTTATGCTCACATCTTTGAGGGAACATCATTTGAATTTTATATTAATGGGCCAAGTTGCTACATTCACTGGTATTAATAAACAGCCAACATTAAGGCTAAAAAACAGTTTCAAAGGCATCTGAACTGAATCTGTAGGCAGCATTTCAAGGTATCACAGGCCTGCTCATGAAGGCTGTCCCAAAAGTTAAGAAATGCAACTCCCTCAGATACCATGTTTTCCCAAATAATTGGAGATGGCATTCCTGACTACTTTTTTCTTAAAATCTGTGTTAAATATATTTATTCTTATCAGAATATTGAATAATTTATTTTGTGTTGCATGTATTGTAACTCATTTGAGCCAGCACTATTTGTCTAACTAATTTCCTGCACATTTCATGTTATAGGCAGTGAGGCAGATCACTAGGTTTAATAGTATAAAATTATAATTGTTTAATAGTATAAAACTATACTATAACTAGAGACAAACTATAATGCTTAGCTAAATAATTTTTATTATTATTATTGTATTCATTTATTAATCTATTAGCTGTAATACTTTGAGTGGGACAACAACAGTTCTCGGGTTCAAAGACACAGGCAGTCAATGTCCTTGTGCAGAAGAAAGCTCTTCTGCACTGCAATGTCAGCTATTATCATAAAAAGCCTCCTTAATCACAGAGCTGCATGCTGGAATATTCATGAAGTCCTTTCATCGCTGTTGTGCTTACGAATGTTTGTTCACAACGCCAAGTATCTGCTCCACTGGCAGGCTGAATGCAGTAATCCAGACTGCGTCCGCAAATGCGCAGCTCTAAAAGCGGATGGTGACAACATTTGACTGCAGAGTTCAAGGGGAGCTGCTCTAACGTGAGGCTCGGCTTTGTATCTGGCCGCTCATCACCCATGATTAAAAGCAGTGGCACTACTGTCCAGGAGACTTAGAGTAATATTTAAGCTGGCTGTTGCCATGTGCTCTTGGCCATTGAGGGAATCGCTCTCTGTTCTGATTGATTTCACTGTGTTTGATGTGGCAGAGAGCTCATTTGCTCAGCTGGAGAAGAGTATAGGAGCCATTAGGAGAAAATTAATCACTGCACAAAACAGGATGTGTGTCTATGAGATTACAGAAGATTACAGAGTCAAACAAGAAGGCTTACATTTTCTGTACTCTCAAGCATCCTGCCAAGAGACAAGAGATAAAAACTGACATGAAAGCAACCATGAATTGACATGCAACCAAAAAAAGACAGGGACGGACCGATACAGGGCCGAGAGGATATCAAACACCTTCCTTCTACTTGGTGGACTCAAGAGCTGAGCTAACAATGTTCACAAGAAATGTCAGACTGCACAATTTCCTCTTCAAGAAAATCTACCTCTTGAGCAGAGAGTCTAATTTGGCATGTGAAAGAATACTAAAGTGTATGGAAAAAGCAAGGACATGGAGGAGAACAGCAGGAAAAGCCGTAATGCGCTATAGGGGAGGAAAGCTAAAGGGCGATGGTGAAGAGTCAAGAGCCCTTACGAAGCACTCAGCTGCATCGTCCATAATGCCCAGCTGGAATCGCTGCTCATCCTGGAAGGTTTTGGCAAGAGCGCAGCGGAGAGCATCAGAGGGCAGCACCTTCTCACTGCTGAACTGAAACTGCACAAAGATGCTCTGAAAAACAACCACAGCTTTTGATTAATGTTAAAAAAAAAACATCAACACCAGCTCATCACACAACTTCTTTCAAAAATGGGCAATAAGTGTACCTTTATACAACAGTTTGTCACCCTGTATCCAGTTACAAACTGTTGTATAAAGAGTTCAAATCTCTTTCAAATGTGATAAGAGAAAATGAATATGATGTTTAAGATTAAATTTTATTTTTAATGTAGCCAATAATCACAACTTCTTTTTTATATTAAAAAAAGTACCATGACAAGCAAAGACGTTTTAGGGTGCTTTCACACTAGCACTTTTGGTGCGCACCCGGGTTCGATTGACGTCAGAGTTCAGTACGTTTGGATGATGTGAACGCGGTCTTCCAAACTCGGGTGCGCACCCACGAACCGTACCCGAGTCCGCTTAAAAAGAGTGGTCTGGGGTAGGGTTCAAGTGAACTCCGGTACGGTTCGCTGCTGATGTGAACGCAATCGTACCAAATCACGGAAGTGAACTGCTATTAATGACGTATTATTTGATAAAAATGTGTGTTTGTGTGTGTTTCACTCACTTTCCTGACGCGCTGCAAGCAGAGAGCTGTATATCTCATTTCTGTTCGCCTTCAGAGTTCTTTAGAGCATTTGCATAAGGCAAACGTAAGTGCCGTTATGTACTGAAGCTTTGGAAACAAAACCAACGGTTCAAAAGCATAAATATAAAATTGAAGAGAGCAATGCTACGCATTTTGCAGTCTTCTCCTGCACTATCGTTACTAAGCAACGGGGTAAACAGCTGCTGGCTTGATGACGCAAACGAACCGCGGTCCGGACCCAAATAATATAATGTGAACACAGTCCAGCGGGGGCAGGGGGAGGGGGGAGCAATCGAACTGGGGTTCGGACCAAGCAATCGAACCAAGTGTGAAAGCACCCTTAAAGAGTGTGTTTTACAAAGGAAATAAAGTAATACAGATGATACGACGGTGAGTAAATGCATGAACTTTCATTTTTGGGTGAACTATCCAATTAAAAGCAGTATTTATTTTCCTCTTAAGCCACATTTAAACAGCATAATTAAGTCTCCTGGTATATAAGAACACATCAAAGATTTCAAATGCTGTAAAGCAAGACATGTCTGTCTGCAAGACTTCTGTGCTGAATTAAGTAAACAGTTATTACAGGATTAACTTCTTTACTTTGAAGGCTGAAAACTCTTGAGAGGTTTGAACGGCTGTCTGTGTCTTTCTGACTTTACTCCAGTATGTTTCACGGGCAGTGACATAAGTGCAGTGCCTTTATGTCACTGCCCGTGAAACATACTGGAGTAAAGTCAGAAAGACACAGACAGCCGAATACAGAGGCAGTACCAGACCCATGAGAGCGATCGGACAGGCTGACAGACATATTGTCCCAGTCCTGTGTGTGAGAGCAGACAGGCAGCCCCCTACTTCGCTGACACAGGGCTCAGGAGAGAGATCTCTACTTTCCAGCTGAGTTATTGAACTTTTGATGGAAAGCGCCAATGGCAATCCTGAACATTAGAAGGAATCTAATATAAAATGAGTGTAAGGGAGGGACTGAAAAGAAACGGAATGGAAAAAGAAATGGCACAGCAAGAGCTGAATACATGCAACACTGCTTGCCATGTAGCTATAGTTAAACACAGGATAGCTAGTTTGTGATGCATATCTATTCCTTCAATTCCATATATTTGATGTTTTCATAGTACGTCAACATACATATAATGGTCTGCCAATGCTTCGAAGCAGACAAAATGACAAAGTAGTGATTCAACACTGTTTTTTTATGTTTTGGTATCAGACAAAATAACTAGGCCTAAATAATAATTAGAACAGACATGTAAACTAGTAATTATACTAACTAAATTTTAATTATAGTTTTTGTTTCTCACTTGAGAATGAATAGCTGGGTGCAGTTCTTTATAGACTTACCAAATGAAGCCATTTATTAGTAGACCCAACATTAAAAAACAGGTTTTGGTGACCACTGACTTAGAGATATTTTGAGAAATGTCTCAGAGTTTTTTTTTTTTTAATGTTCCACAGAAGAAAGAAAGTCAGCGGTTTGGAACGACATGAGGGTGAGTAAATGATGGCAGAATTTTCATCTGTGGGTGAACTATGCCTTTAAACTAAAAATGTACTTTTATCTGTAAATAAAGTGGGTCAAGCCAATTATCTCTGCTTTTACAATAAAGTTCACTATTTAATATTTGATAACATTTCAGAATCTTGAAGCATATACAGATGGCAGAAACACATTAGCCTTCATATAAAAAGGGAAAGTACTGAATTAGAAAAGCTATAATGGAGCAGAGATCCCTGTCAGCTCCATGAATTTAATGCATCATGAATAAAGTCAAACCCTGATGGGCTCAGTGCTTTACCTTCAGAGCGCAGAAGATGCACGAGTCCTCCATACACTTGTGTGTGGTGAGCTGCCGGAAACTTCGCCGGAAGATATCCAGATGCCAGAGAACCTATAAGAAAAATGTGCAATTAGTCGTAAGAAACGTTTACATCGTCCTCTGATCTTTGATGCTGCCTGCGCATGATATGAGAGTGCTCTGAAAGGCTGAGAAAAGGTTCAATCAAGCATCAGACACTCAACAAACCTTCTAAAATGCCTGAGAAGCTCTAGTCATCAAAAATGCATCAGGCTCAAAAAGCACTTGCACCGCCTGCAGTTGACTTTCCACCTCTTCCTAAGTGTCTCTCTCAGAAGGGCAAGGCATCTAAAGAAGTCGAGTCAGGTTGGAGATGGAGATTGTGCAAGTTGTATCTGACGCTGACCGACTCCTTTCCTCAACAATCTCCTAAATCCAGCTTTCTTGACACACCGTAATACAATCTCAACCAATCACATGAAAGAAGCAATTAGGTCTCACTAATCAGGTGTCAAAGATCTGATAAGCCTGTGTGCTCTATCCAAGAGTTTGAAGAAACGGGAGCAGGTTCACAAGCAGAGCAAAGTCTGATAGTAAGATGAAGTGATGAGCGTGTTTCCCAGCTTTAGTCTTTCATCTTGAGGAATGTATGCATCTCCAGGTGAAGGATGATGCGGAATGTCAGCGGAACAAACAAAGACCTGCTAGGTTCCTGCTGGGCAGCTCACATGCACGCACAGACACACAATCATGCACACCTCCCATCTGGCCATGCCTGGGAGGCTGCGGAGGTCGAGCTGACCCCACCTGCCCGCCATGAGTGGGGACTTTGTGTGCCATGGCCCCGCTGCTCACCCACGATCTACGCTTGGATGCTGAATTATTAAGAGAGCTGTCAGTCCGTCTAACTTTACATTCACAGATGCCTTAATCACTCTAATAGTGACAAAGTCTGTTAATTAACTTCAAAAGTTAGCTGGCCTGTAAACCAAAACGTTTAAGAGACCTGCTTATGTTTCAGTCAGAAGTCTTAAGCAGAGCTGTCCATTTGGCTTACTTTGAACCCCTTTAAAATCTATAGTGCTGTCAGAATCAATTTCAGAGAGTAATTTCACAAATCAGAGACACAAAGTAGAAAACATCTGTTTGGGGCTGTGCGTGTGTCTCTGCACAATACAACTTTAATAGTACTCAACAGCACTGATCTCTCATGCCATTACGATCACCCTGTATGACCTGCTGACGCTCTTTGCATGGCAAGTGAAACTGTAAGGGAATAAAATGTATGAAATGCAATACTGTTTTTGTTAAACACAAAAGCTTGAATGTAAATATTTCCTCGGGCATGAAAATGTGCATCAGAGGACTCTACAACACGATCACAAGTATTCATCACAATCAATAAACTCAATATTTTTGTTTGCAATGCAAACCACATGGTCTTAGGTAAACCAGTTTTTACTTGAAGCCTTGCCAAGCAGTGCTCAAATATAAAGATGTGAGAGTGTTTTGGGACAGGTTGACAGAAGAGTAATTTGCCCTTTTGGGCCATTATAACTAAACTAAAAAAAAATTTAAATATAAAAATATAAAAAGACACTCTAACGGCGCTTTTCCACTGCGTGGCTCAGTACGGCACAGCACGGCACGGCTCGGTTTGCATTTCCACTGCAGCTTAGTATCGCTTTAGAGTGGGTGGAATTATTCACATGTCGTTATAGTTGCGCCGCCTCTACTGCCGCGACTCCTGAAAAACTTTTTCATTCCACGTCGCCCCATCAAGCTGTTGCTGAATCCGCTCCTCGGCTATCAATGAGAGGAACGTCTGTACTTCCGCAACAGACAACGAAACAGTCACTTTTTGGTTGTTAAAAAAAAAGTGCGCTCGTTCAAAACAGTTGCGTTCGATGCTTCGCTGGTTGTGCTGATTTAAATCTAGCGGTTCTGTTGTGTTTGTGTCACAAGTTCAGTGACGCAGGTAGTGACGATTCTCTCCGGCCAATCCGTGATCAGCAGAGTTTACACGTCACGTTTTGGTAATGGTACAGTTCACTTGTAACCTCAACCGAGGTGGTACTAAAAAAATAACCGTTGTTCTTGAAACACAGTCCTGGGGCCCGATTCACGAAAATCTTAAGATAAATTCCACGAAGTTCGTAAGAATGTTCTTAAGTGCAATTCTTGAAAAATTCTTAAGTTCTCAAATATATTCTTAAGAGCATCTTCATTTTTTTCTTAAGAAGAAAATAACAGTCGTTATCTGAGTGAATACATGACGCACTGATAAACTCACACTTTATTGTCTTTTTGCGCTTCCTGCAGATTACCCTAATAATCTTAATAAGCACGCACATTATTTTCGTCGCGAGTTTGACTGGTGCTCAGCTTCACGTTTTTAATGCGCTGTGTTTTTGAACAGTTACTTTTAAAATAGCATGTCTCAAGCTGTAGCAATATGTTTCATTCATTTTTGTGCTGTTTTTGCGCTCTCATCTGAGTGAACACTTCCGGCATGTGTGTCCGCGCTGCTACAGCAAACGCATCCTACGCATTCATGTGTGCTGAATACTGCCAAAGATTATGTCGTATTTATAAGCTAAAATTAAAAGCGTTCAATTAAAGCTCCCTAACTTACTCGTTTTAGAGTTGCTACTGAGTTTTGAAGTCAGCAAAAAGTAGAGTCACCCATAGGCTAATTATGACCGATCATTGATTACATTATCAGTCATCGCTGTCACTTCAGAAAACTCGTGCACATCCCTATTAATAGTCCTACTATGTATTATATGTA